ACAAACTCAAGATAATGTGAATAGAATATAACACGATTCAATTGAAAAATACAAACAATTGACACAACTAATTACCAAATGAAATTAGCGTCAAATTATATGATCAATCAGAAGTAATTAATACTCGACACAAACACAAAATAATGTGAACAGAATATAACACGACTCAGTTGAAAATACAAACAATTGACACAACTAATTACTATATAAAATTAGTATAAAATTATATGATCGATCAGAAGTAATTAATACTCGATACAAACTCAAAATAACGTGAACATAATATAGCACGATTGAGTTGAAAATACAAACAATAGACACAATTAATTACTAGATGAAATTAGTGTCAAATTATATCATCGATTAGAAGTAATTAATACTCGACACAAACTCAAAACAAATGCAAACCAGATATACAATACGATTCAATTATTAACTCTACTATGCCATGCAAGTAAAATTGACCTCAGCTATATAGCTTGTATTTTATTAGGGTTAATCTCAAATTGCACCTCGAAAAGATCTCTTGAATTTTAATTTATATTTTTAAAGATAAAAAATCTCAATTTACACCCTCAAATATATAAATATGTATCAATGTGCACTTAAAACTAACAGTTATCCATTTAGATGTCTAAAACTAAATGAGTGAATTACACCTAAACTCCTTCATGTTTGTTACTTAATCACTAGATCTCCTCACATTTAAAATATTACACCTACACTCCCTGAGAATCCAAATATAACTAAAAGTGTTCCCCAAATTGGGCATTCAAATAATTTGTTCAAATGATGTATTGCATTAGATATAAAGAATATTATATAATACTAGTACTCATGAACATTTAAAAGGTAAGCTTAATTTTAAATTTTAGAGTACAACGGACCCACAAAATAAAAGGATAGTATGTAAATTATAGTTGTTTTATTAGGATGACATCATTTTTTTAACAGTTACATTAGCGGATATTGACGNAATAAAAGGATTGTATGTAAATTATAGTTGTTTTATTAGGATGACATCATTTTTTAACGGTTACATTAGCGGATATTGACGATAAGGGGTTATGTGTTACACGCGCACAAATGTCATAGATTGTAGGTGTAGTATTCTAAATGTGAGGGAATCCACTGATTAAGTGACAAATTTAAAAGGGTCTAGGTATAATTTATCTATTTAATTTTAAATGACAAACTACTACTGTTATCTTTAGGTGCATATTGATACAAATTTATATATTTGAGAGTGTAAATTGAGATTTTTGATTTGTGAGTATATAAATTGAGACTCGANGGCAAACTACTACTATTATCTTTAGGTGCATATTGATACAAATTTATATATTTGAGAGTGTAAATTGAAATTTTTGATTTTTGAGCATATAAATTGAGACTCGAAAAATATGTTGAGGTATAATTTGTGATTAATCCTTTTTATATATTAGATACGCCAACATTTGTCCACTAGACCTTAGTACGCATTTGTCTAACCTCTTGCCCTTTGAAAGATAAATTNTTCAATTATTAACTCTACTATGCCATGCAAGTAAAATTGACCTCAGCTATATAGCTAGTATTTTATTAGGGTTAATCTCAAATTGCATCTCGAAAAGATCTCTTGAATTTTAATTTATACTTTTAAAGATAAAAAATCTCAATTTACACCCTCAAATATATAAATCTGTATCAATGTGCACTTAAAACTAACAGTCATCCATTTAGATGTCTAAAACTAAATGAGTGAATTACACCTAAACTCCCTCATGTTTGTTACTTAATCACTAGATCTCCTCACATTTAAAATATTACACATACACTCCCTGAGAATCCAAATATAACTAAAAANCTCCTCACATTTAAAATATTACACATACACTCCCTGAGAATCCAAATATAACTAAAAATGTTCCCCAAATTGGGCATTCAAATAATTTGTTCAAATGATGTATTGCATTAGATATAAAGAATATTATATAATACTAGTACTCATGAACATTTAAAAGGTAAGCTTAATTTTAAATTTTAGAGTACAACGGACCCACAAAATAAAAGGATAGTATGTAAATTATAGTTGTTTTATTAGGATGACATCATTTTTTTAACAGTTACATTAGCGGATATTGACGATAAGGGGTTATGTGTTACACGCGCACAAATGTCATAGATTGTAGGTGTAGTATTCTAAATGTGAGGGAATCCACTGATTAAGTGACAAATTTAAAAGGGTCTAGGTATAATTTATCTATTTAATTTTAAATGACAAACTACTACTGTTATCTTTAGGTGCATATTGATACAAATTTATATATTTGAGAGTGTAAATTGAGATTTTTGATTTGTGAGTATATAAATTGAGACTCGAAAAATATGTTGAGGTATAATTTGTGATTAATCCTTTTTATATATTAGATACTCCAACATTTTTCCACTAGACCTTAGTACGCATTTGTCTAACCTCTTGCCCTTTGAAAGATAAATTTTTATAATAAAATACCTAACAACTTGAATTTTATCCCTTATATATTTTTCTTTTAAAAAATATCACATAACTCATTTTTATCACATATTCAATCATTTAATATTTAATTAATTTGTAGTTTAACATAGTTTTATTTTTGATATTTTTCATACACGATAGTATACATATGTTGAGAAAATTGTTAATATTTTTAAGAAAATAATGGGTAAAAATAAATTTTAAATGATGTAATCAACGAAATGAAGGGGAAAAAATTGTTATTTAATATAATGAGATCGATTTTTTGGGCGTTTAAATTTTATATTTCATCGTAGCTTTAGACACGAGTTATAACTAGTTTTTCTATGTTCTCTCTCAAAAAAATAAAAATATTACAATTGGGTTCATCATCTTTTCTTTTGTTTGGTCACCCATCCATTTTGTGTCAAATCAATCAATCAAAAATTACAAAATAGATGAAAGACCAAAAATAAATAAGATAGTAGATTACAATGCAATATTTTTATTTCTTGAAGAACTAATGTGAGAAAATTAATCTTCTATGTGACAAACTAAAATTATTTAGAGAAAATTTTATTCACACCCCTTCTAATTAGGCCTAAATTTAATAAAATCCCTTTCCGATTCTAAAACTTTACTGCCACCCCCCTCCCCCCTCGGCCTTGTCTGTAACAGCGTTAATGGCTAGGGTTGATTTACAAAAATAATGTAAATCAACTCGGAGTATTTTATACGCACTCAATATGTATACCTATTTAACTTATACTATTAACTATGATTTAGTTTTGTGAACCCACCTATTTATTAAACCCAACCCATCCCAAGATTCCCAACCCATGCTGTCTCTGTACACTGTACATTCCATGGGTTCATCGACTATTGCACGAACAGAGAGAGACAGAGAGAGAGAGAGAGAATTGGTGAAAAACAATAATTCCATCGAAGCTAACACATCAACAAGGACAACCAGAGATTGCTTTCCGCTAACCCATCTCCCCTTTTTCCCTATCTATCCTCTCAGTTGGGTTTGTTTTCGAATTTTGATCACTGACCCAATATGCAAATAGAGAAAAGCTGAAATCTTTTTGTGCTTTCTTTCCCTTGCTTTATTTCTTATCAACACCAGACCACACCAGCTAAACTTCATGTGAGTGTCGATTACGCTTCTATTTTTGTACTTTTGTGGCTGTATATACATTTGTATCATATGTAGTAGTGATTGTCAGATTAATGTTTCTTTCGGAAAGTTTTGTTGGATTAATGTAATTTGCTCTTTTATCTTGGCTTTTTTCTGTTTTGATACTTTATTAGGTGGATTCTTGATGAAAAATGCTATCTGGGTTCTTTAGATCATATATCACAAAATATACCGACATTTAAACATCTAAAAAGATATTGCATGAAATTTTTTTTAAAAAAATGATTGAAAAAAATTAAAACTATCTGAACAAAAATTTAAAAAAAAAATTGCATGAAAAAATTAAAAAGAAAAATTAATGAAATTTTTTTAAAAATCTGCATAAAAAACATTTACAAATCTACAAGATTTTTTTTTTTTAACGACTTATGTACTGAACGATCAGTGCGGAGAGCGACTTGATGAACAAAAGGCTGAACGTTCAGTCTCCTTTGTTTTCCAGCAACACAAAACTTGTTTTTGACCTCTACCAACCAAAAAGGGCTATATATATATATATATATATATATATATATATATATAAATAAATATTAGTCATAATCTGTGCCTGAAGGAAGGCAAGATAAAATATAAAATTTGAACGTTTAAAAAATAGATTTTATTATATTAATTTTTTTTAAAATATATTAATTATAAATTAATTAAAAATTAAATATATATTAAAAATGAGTGATGTGATATTTTTAGGGAAGAAATATATAAATGATTAAACATATGATATAAATAAGTAATGCAATTTGACGTTTGAGTTTGACAAAAGGATGATGGGCGATATAAGTGATTGATAATGATTTTAAAGGAAAAAATATGACTGGGACAAAATTCAAACGTACTCCTGTTTAATTACATTTTAGTATATTTATATAAGGAACGGTAGTTTAATATTTTTAAAAAATTTAAGGCAAACCGTTACTGAAATTTAGGGCACCGTTAAATATTACTATTAAGGGATGTCTTTGATTTAAAAGTCAAAAAATATAAATTAAAAGAAAGTATAATGAAATTTTAGAATTAGAAAAGGGTGTTGTTATNTAAAAGTCAAAAAATATAAATTAAAAGAAAGTATAATGAAATTTTAGAATTAGAAAAGGGTGTTGTTATTGAATTTAGGCTTAATTAGAGGGGTGGATGAAAATTTTTCAATTATTTATATCCTTGAGGGGGACATTTACCCTCGTATAAAACCAAAACATGTGATTTGTTCACTGAAAACAAGCAGAGACTATGTATGTATGTATGAGTATGACCTACTTTTCCTACCCTTGGCTTTCTCTTTTCCAAAAACTCGCAAACAATGATACGTCTCTTTTCTGCCCAAAACAGTGAAACCGCCGATTACTGTCATCCAGCGTAAGAACTACCGCTTCACCGGCTCAAAAGATAAGAAGGGGAAGAATAAGCAACTTCTCAGCGCTGCTCAGTCCCAGGTAAGAATCTCTCTCTCTCCTAATGAAATCTATAATTAAATCAAAAATGTTTGCAGTCTATTGTATGCAATTGATTTTGGTTGTGCTTCTGGGTTTCTGGTTCTCTCAGGGATGCATAGTTTTTCTAGTTCGATGTTTTCAATGTTACTCTATCCTACTTGTGAACGTCATAATCCACCCCATTTCATCTTATCTAGTTTTATTTGTATCAATGAGGGTTGGTTCAATGACAACTTGACAAGTTATATTGGGATTTCTTTTTTGTATGACTTCCTCCTTCTTGATTGTTTCTACAACTTCAGAATTTGAGTCGAGAAAAGGAGATTGCGTTGTTTTCATCACTGTTTGGCACATTCAAGCCTTCTTGTAATCGTTGAGAGGAAAAATGCTGTCTATAGCCTCTGAGATTTCAAAGGCTGATTCCTGTAGTTCATTTCACAACATCATCATGCCTTTGTCGCTCCAAAAATTGTCATCTACTTTCGTCATTGTTACCTACAACCAATGAGGTTGTTTGTGGACTCTGTATCTAGTGGGTCTAAATCTCATTCCTCATCAAATCTCTGCAGACAAAAGCTAAGTGTTTCTTTTTTGTCAGTGCAAGTGCAATTAATGGCCATTGCCCTAAAAGCAACTTTCCCCGTCCAACTGAAAAAGAAACCTGAAAACCATTTATTTATTCGCCTGAATGCTCAAAGAGTCGTTGTTTCGAGGAAAACATTGAAGACTCCAATGGCCACTCTCAGCACTGTCTGCACTGTGGGTCTCTCCGAAACTTTTGCAAGATTGAGACAAGAAGGCAAAGTAAGCACTTCATTTCCTCTCTCTCATTTATGTTTAATGCTTTCTTCTGTGATTCTGTCACTTTTTCTTGGGGAAATTTTGTATTTCTATATGATTGGTTTTTAGTTCAATTTGAATTTCAACATGGCTTCGGTTTATTTTGCTTGGTGATATGGTTGATGCCTAGATGATTTGGGATTATGGACACACTATTTCTTTGTAGAGTTTTAGGGGTTTTGCCAGAAATGTTTAAATACATCATTTAGTATTTGGTATCGTCATGCAGTTTATATGAAGCTGTCCAGATTACACAAAAAATCTAATGTATTCCTCCCTTGCCTTAAAAGGAAGAACCCAATGGAGGCCCCCAAACAGGTGGAAAGAATGCTACCCCTCGTGGCCAAGTTTAGCTGCCAGGGCACCAATCCATTTACCTTCTCCCACAAGTATCAAATCTCTCTTGATACATCAACCTTCAAAGCCCGACACCACCTGAAATAACAACCAACTGTTCTAAGGGATCTCAATGTCTCATTTTCCCTAAAATTTAGTGAAAGACAACTCCCTCCTCTTCACTCCCTGATACTGTAGCTGCAAATTCCTTAACGTACCCACCTCCAACCTCTCTACTTAATGGCTTGCTTTGTGATTCCATAAACCACATTAACAAAAATTGGGACATAAGAAATCCTTGTCTCAATCCATTTGAACTCGGAAAGAAGCCTACTGGAGAGTGGAGGGCCAGTCACTAGCTCAGAAAATTGAAGTCTTAATTTACATGATACCATACATCATTCCATGACTTGAGTGTGTGTTATGTATGTGCAATTGTGCATAGACATTTCACCAAGATTTTGTTTCTTATTTAGCCAGCATTGGAAAATAATGGAGCAAGATTTGGTGCTGACTGAATCAAAAGAGAGCCTTTTGTTTCACCATTTCTAACGTATGGTGACCAATTTTGATAAAATTATCTGAGTTGTTAAAAAGTTAGGAACATGACAACACATGAATGCTAATTAGATTAAAGCTATTTTGTATTGATGAGAATGCTTTGGTGCAACGAAATCCTTGTTTCAGTCCATTTGAACTCAGGAAAAAGCCTACTGGAGAGTGGAGGGCCAGTCACTAGCTCAGAAAATTTAAGTCTTAATTTACATGATACCATACATCATTCCATGACTTGAGTGTGTGTTATGTATGTGCAATTGTGCATAGACATTTCACCAAGATTTTGTTTCTTATTTAGCCAGCATTGGAAAATAATGGAGCAGGATTTGGTGCTGACTGAATCAAAAGAGAGCCTTTTGTTTCACCATTTCTAATGTATGGTGACCAATTTTGATAAAATTATCTGAGTTGTTGAAAAGTTAGGAGCATGACAACACATGAATGCTAATTAGATTAAAGCTATTTCGTATTGATGAGAATGCTTTGGTGCAAAGGTGGCACTTATCCCATACATTACGGCTGGTGATCCTGACCTTTCAACCACAGCGGAAGCACTAAAGATGCTCGACTCATGTGGCTCGGACATAATAGAATTGGGTGTACCATATTCTGATCCTTTGGCTGATGGTCCAATAATCCAGGTTTGACAGTATGGTTGTTTTCTTACCGTTGATGATTTATATCCTTTTACCTAATACATATTTACTTTCCTTTTTCCCCTTTTGCAGGCTGCTGCTACTCGTTCGTTGGCTAGAGGGACCAATTTTGATAAAATTCTCTTAATGTTGAGAGAGGTTGGAGTATTATATTTCTTATTTGCTTTCTGTATCCACAGCACTACACTTGGACTCATATAGAATGGCACATTTTATAATCCTCCCTAATTAGTTCTATAGATATAAGCGGATTATTTTGTAGAGAAACTTTGTAGAAAAGATGAACAAAATTTGGCAGGTAGCTCAAATGGAAAGACGTCATGGATTACTACCTTGAAGTCTTAAGTTTCATTTATCACAAAAAAGATATGGATTACCTGATAAGCATGGTTTATGGGTGTGTGCTTGCATCCAAAGTTTGTGTCGTAGACACGAGTCCAAAATGGGGGTGATGGTGGGGCGGTTCTCCGTTATTATTAGAAGAAAAAAGAGAAAAAGATGAGCAAGAAAACAACTAAAATATTAAGATGCTTTGAAAGCATAACGTTTTGACTAAGTTTAGTATGCAGTTGGTTTTAGAGAAACGCTGATTGTTGTGCTGGTTTTAGAAAGCTCATCTCACTGTTATTTCTATTTTATATTTTGTCAGTTTAAAGAACATCAACACCCAGTCATTGTATAACTTTTTCAAATGAAGAGAAGTAACATTCTTTTTTCTTGTATACTTTCTCCTATCTATTCTTCATTTTCGATGTTGTTTATGGCAAAGATGGTGGTTAGGCAGCAAGCATAACATCCTTATTAAAGATTCAAGTAACACCATTTCAGTCCTAATGGGATGAATTCTTATATTAATAATATTTTCCTCTAGAGAAAAAATCTTAAATTTTACATTCATGCTTGAGAACAAGTCAACATCTTATTGCTAAATTAATTTTCAAAAAAAAAAAAAAAACATCTTATTGCTAGTTCTGTAATTGTTTGTTTTTTTTTTTTGATATAAATTATTTGTTCACTGCAGTATATTGAGTTTAATTGTTCTCTTTGAAATTCCAATATCACATTTTTGTCATTAACTGTGCAGGTTGTACCTCAATTATCTTGTCCACTCGCGTTATTTTCATATTATAACCCAATACTTAAGCGTGGGATTGAAAAGTTTATGACTACTGCGAAGGATGCTGGTATAACTGGTAATGTGTAATGATATACTGAATTTCAATATTATATTTTTTCTGAACGATTGCATTATTTTATTTGGCGAAGTATATGTTTGAGCTGTGATGTGAGGCATTTTGAGCCTGAACCTACACAGCGAGCAGACCTTTTATGGATTAATAAAACACTAGTTGTAATTTTAGATAGATGTGACATGAGACATTTATGTGAACTGAAAGGCTAAGATCAAAGTGATAAATCCTTATACCTGCAGCACAAGTTCTCTAAATGGCCTTTCAGCATTATGCTCATATTAGATCAAATCCATATGTGTTTTCTAGTTATTGAGACTTTTTAGAATACATAGTCACAGATTTTATTCTTGTCACTATCGGAGTTGGTGGAGGTGGCGTTTGAGTAGTTGACATAAGGGTTTCTCTCGCTACCATAGATCACAACCCTCCTTTAGAGGAAAGAGTTGAACATGATACAGATGGAACAGTTACAAGAAATTCACACAATAATTTCAGTAGTATGGTTATATGCGATCACATATTTGATTGCTAATAACAAAGAAATATATAGCAATAATGCTTATTATGTGTCAGATTTATGGAATCAGTAATGAATCCATGAAGGTTCTTGATCTCTCTCTGTCAAAACTATTCCATTAATAGTCCACATGCTCTGCAAATGACGGTTGGAGTTTGCCACTTATCGTAGCTCTTCAGCTTTAAGTTTATGCCTTGAATTTCTTGGAGAAACCTAATGTCAAATAGCTCTATTAGGTTCTTGAATGTCATTCTCTTGATGGTTGCTAATTGCAGGGCACAAGGCTCCATGAAACGCAGAAAGTGTATATTAAATTGAAAATATTTGATTGCAAGTTTGTTTCGTCACGAGGCCAAGTAACGATATTCATGGTGCACGACTACCTGCTCTTACAAGAGCTGTGAGGCTCATTCTTAATAGAATAAAAACCCATTAAAAATACAAAGCCTATTCAAAATGTTTTATTTTTCGGGCTTTTGGTTAAGGATGCTTTGTGGGCTAGTTTTAATTTGCAGTGAATGCAAACCTCTCCTAGATAATAAGTTGGCTTGAAATGACTTCTTTTGAACCAATACTTGCTTTTGGTTTCATATGCCAATACCAACATGGAAAAAGATATTAACAGTTGGAATCAGAATGGCCTCTGCACTCTGTATGTTATAGAAATTTTAGCTGCACCCCTCATTAACTCCCAAACATTCTATTAAATGAAGCACTTATTATCCCACGATTCTTTTTTCTTTTTTAAAAATTCATACATCTTAAATTTTTTACTCATTCGTTCGTTTAATTGGAATTATTGCAGGACTAGTGGTCCCAGATGTCCCTCTGGAGGAGACTGAGATTCTAAGAAAGGAAGCTGTTAAGAACAAGATTGAACTGGTTTGGTTTTCCTGTTAATTGTTCATATCCTTTCCTTCAGATACCTGAATGGCTTAGGATTGGCACTTCAATTAGTTATGTGCATGTTTACTAGTGACGAATTACCAGCCTTCCCAAAAGCAAGTTTGGATGATTCTCCATTAGCTCTGGTAGAATAGCGGTTGTTGAACAATGAAACTTTTATATATATATATATATATATATNTTTTGTCATTAACTGTGCAGGTTGTACCTCAATTATCTTGTCCACTCGCGTTATTTTCATATTATAACCCAATACTTAAGCGTGGGATTGAAAAGTTTATGACTACTGCGAAGGATGCTGGTATAACTGGTAATGTGTAATGATATACTGAATTTCAATATTATATTTTTTCTGAACGATTGCATTATTTTATTTGGCGAAGTATATGTTTGAGCTGTGATGTGAGGCATTTTGAGCCTGAACCTACACAGCGAGCAGACCTTTTATGGATTAATAAAACACTAGTTGTAATTTTAGATAGATGTGACATGAGACATTTATGTGAACTGAAAGGCTAAGATCAAAGTGATAAATCCTTATACCTGCAGCACAAGTTCTCTAAATGGCCTTTCAGCATTATGCTCATATTAGATCAAATCCATATGTGTTTTCTAGTTATTGAGACTTTTTAGAATACATAGTCACAGATTTTATTCTTGTCACTATCGGAGTTGGTGGAGGTGGCGTTTGAGTAGTTGACATAAGGGTTTCTCTCGCTACCATAGATCACAACCCTCCTTTAGAGGAAAGAGTTGAACATGATACAGATGGAACAGTTACAAGAAATTCACACAATAATTTCAGTAGTATGGTTATATGCGATCACATATTTGATTGCTAATAACAAAGAAATATATAGCAATAATGCTTATTATGTGTCAGATTTATGGAATCAGTAATGAATCCATGAAGGTTCTTGATCTCTCTCTGTCAAAACTATTCCATTAATAGTCCACATGCTCTGCAAATGACGGTTGGAGTTTGCCACTTATCGTAGCTCTTCAGCTTTAAGTTTATGCCTTGAATTTCTTGGAGAAACCTAATGTCAAATAGCTCTATTAGGTTCTTGAATGTCATTCTCTTGATGGTTGCTAATTGCAGGGCACAAGGCTCCATGAAACGCAGAAAGTGTATATTAAATTGAAAATATTTGATTGCAAGTTTGTTTCGTCACGAGGCCAAGTAACGATATTCATGGTGCACGACTACCTGCTCTTACAAGAGCTGTGAGGCTCATTCTTAATAGAATAAAAACCCATTAAAAATACAAAGCCTATTCAAAATGTTTTATTTTTCGGGCTTTTGGTTAAGGATGCTTTGTGGGCTAGTTTTAATTTGCAGTGAATGCAAACCTCTCCTAGATAATAAGTTGGCTTGAAATGACTTCTTTTGAACCAATACTTGCTTTTGGTTTCATATGCCAATACCAACATGGAAAAAGATATTAACAGTTGGAATCAGAATGGCCTCTGCACTCTGTATGTTATAGAAATTTTAGCTGCACCCCTCATTAACTCCCAAACATTCTATTAAATGAAGCACTTATTATCCCACGATTCTTTTTTCTTTTTTAAAAATTCATACATCTTAAATTTTTTACTCATTCGTTCGTTTAATTGGAATTATTGCAGGACTAGTGGTCCCAGATGTCCCTCTGGAGGAGACTGAGATTCTAAGAAAGGAAGCTGTTAAGAACAAGATTGAACTGGTTTGGTTTTCCTGTTAATTGTTCATATCCTTTCCTTCAGATACCTGAATGGCTTAGGATTGGCACTTCAATTAGTTATGTGCATGTTTACTAGTGACGAATTACCAGCCTTCCCAAAAGCAAGTTTGGATGATTCTCCATTAGCTCTGGTAGAATAGCGGTTGTTGAACAATGAAACTTTTATATATATATATATATATATATATGTATGTATGTATGTATGTATTAGATCGCTGCTACTTATCACAGTTTAGATCTTTATTTAGTCATTTTCTCCCCCACACTCTCAGGTAAAGGGAACCAAAATGGGGAGTGATCTTTCTTGTGGTAATATTGATGATGCATGGAGTATGTCTGATGTTAGCTTTTAAAATATAAACTTCCATGAGAGCAAATGTGGTCAAGGGAAACTTTCAGTAATTGAAGTAACTGAAGTTTTGGAACATCTTTTTGAGTACTTGTGAGGCTACATAATATTGAGTGTACTTTCATGTTTGTGATCTGAGACTGCATATTAGATCCCATTGCTATGGCTTTTTCGCTACTACGTGATGTCATATATGACTACTCAGTCAATTTATTTTTAATGTGCACTAAAGGTACTGCTGACAACACCAACTACTCCAATAGATCGAATGAAAGCCATTGTTGAAGCTTCAGAAGGATTTGTCTACCTTGTAAGATCCCATTTTTCTTGCTCAATAATAAGAAGCCTTTATGAGGATGAAATCTTTGTGGATCCCATATTTTATTTTATTTTTTCTAGTTTTCGTTCACAGGATGGCATTTTCAAGTATTACTACGAGTGACTCTGATGGCATTGTCTTAGATTTGGTTTATTGAGTATTTACATCTTTCTTTTGTAACTCAGGTTCTGCTGCTATTATTATTTGTTATATCGTATTGGTGATAATATCCACAATATGACATTTAAGGACCGTTATGGACCACTGCTGTGACATTCTAATAGGGTTTGTCTGCTAGATTCATATATTGTTCTGTAGTATCTAAACAGGGATATCGGGATCACAAGTACCATTCCCACATTCTGGGTCGTGCAACCCCAAACGGGGTGGGTTCTCGACCTATATCACCCAAGTTCCTAACCCACCATTTGAGTCCCTTAAAGAATCTGCCACAACCTAGTACTAATTCCTGAAACTTTCCCAACTTAGGCAAAGATGCAATCAAGTTACTATTCTTAGTTATACAGGGTTGAACTGTGTGACATGTATGCATAACGGACTCGTTTAGTTACTGTATTGTAAAAGAAAGTATTGCACTAGTTAATGTAGACTAATTCCGTATAAGTGAATGAAACACAAGATTGAATGGGGTACAAAAATACTACCATTGTAATTTCTCGTTTGGTAAGACATTAGATTAAGAGTGGGATAATAGTTATTAATTTACTTATCCTGTAGTACTAACTACATTTTGACCAAAGAACTATCCATCATGTTCCCATTGAAATAAGATCCACACAAGGAGAAGCACTTGCTATTCTTTAGTTATTAGTGGCACCCCGAAAATGTCCCAGTGGAAATATGGCTTTCAAATTAAGTTCCAAATTAGTGGATGCTGCTAAAGGGAGTGATGATGCATATTTCATATGTATACGAACTAAGCCTATACATAATATTGTGTTTCTGACTGCTAAATGTAACATAAGGTTAGATTAGAGAGCTTTAAGTAGTTATGAGTACTTAATCCACTCTTCATTCTGCAACCAAAAGACCCCAGCAGGTATTATGGTGTTGCATATAGACAGAAAAGTGAGAGCAGGTTTACATTAGTAGTCTTAGAAAGTTCATCTATTTACGTAGTTAAACCATGCATCTCTGCTTATCAGGGTCAATTTTAGTCCCATTGGAATGAGCAATTCTTCTAATTCGAGTTGCTTCCCCAGTTTGTCTTTTTTGTGAAACAATGTTGTACTGGAGCATTTCATCATAATGGCTCGTCTATATGTGTGCTTGTTTTACTTAATTGTTTCCCTGAATAAGTTTTAGTTTACTTGTGCATTTTTGTATGTTAATTCTGTACCACTGCTAGTGTGCACCAATGTAGATTGTTACTTTTATTGGGTAATTTTGGAGAAACTATAGCCTGTAGGTAATCTTCTTTTGTGATCACTTTGTTCAAGCATCCAATTCAAAATCAATTAGTGATGAGTGAAGAAACCTAGAAGGTCAATGCTTTTACATCGTATTGTGACTGGGTCTTTGAGAGATTCTGAGCAAGACTCTTCATTTGTATGTGCCATTACCCATTAGTGTATCCAGTTATCTATATTTGATCGCATCTTTTGGATTTTTTCCGTTAGTTTTCCATGTGCGAGGGATCACACAAATGGAGTGTGTTAGAGCTTGCTCCACATCTACTAATATCTGCCAAACTAGTACATGTCATGGCTAATCAGTTTTGAGTTGAATGATTCAACACACAAGCTGATATTTGGATTTGGAAGCATTTTGTTAATTATATTGGTCACTAGACTTGATATTTAAGCTGACATGAATTCCGGAGCACAATACCAGTCTGTAGATTGAATGAGTATGAGCTGTAATAATCGCATACTTCCTTATAAAATGGTAGTCCACTATAAGCTTCAAGTTACTTTTATATCTTTGTTATCAGGATTTAGTGTATTTTTACTACCACATAGGGGTACATATTTTTATTTCAATTTACTTTTGATATTTTTTGTGTCTATATTTCTGTAATGCTATTGCTACACTAACTCACATTTTCTTTTTGTATGAAAATTCTACTGGGAGCTTTTCTCTTAATAAGCTCTTATAAATTACAAATCTAAGAGACATTGAAAGATGCTTGATCTAGAATGGTACTGTTAATATCTATACAAGCACGCCAACATTGTCTTTGAGCTGAATGCTCGTTTTTTTCTTTACCTATTGGAGCAATTAATAATTCATATGCCCCGGCTATTTAGGAAGTTCTTCATTCTGTTAAACTATATAAATGAATATAGTGTCCTCCTTCTATTGAATAGTAAAATTTTCTACATAGACTGAGGAGGTGGAACAATGAGAAAAAAAATGGATTCTTTTGATTTTTTTTTAATGGACATCATTGTCATTGCTCATTATACCATATGTTGTTGAATTATAGGTGAGCTCTGTTGGAGTTACTGGTGCTCGTGCATCTGTAAGTGCGAAGGTTCAAACTCTTTTACAAGAAATCAAAGAGGTTTGTAAACAATCCTATTTTCAAGCTAATTGCTCATTGGAACAAGATTAACCATGTTGTCAAACACTCATCTTCTTCTTCCCACCGTCTCCTCTCTGTCTTTCACACCCCCACGCCTTTTGGGGCTGGGGAGGTCAAATTGCAAGTATTGCAGCATACAGTCTTTCTACCATTTGACAAGAATCAAGATCCTGAGTTTTGGGTTGAGTGGATGGCCATCATGATTTCACATGCACATGGCATGTAATTATATGCCTTACTAACTTGAGAGGCAGATTCCCTTTTTTGGCTCTAATTGATGACATTTTGTGGCTCGAATTGATGAAAAGATAAATGTATTCCATCTGCCTTTACTAAACAGTCTTGTGTTCGCAGGCAACAAGCAAACCAGTGGCTGTTGGCTTTGGCATATCAAAACCTGAGCATGTGAAGCAGGTTTGTCTTCTAAAATAATCCTCCATTGCCATGAATTGATAGACTTCTGGAGAAGCCACAAATGCTTGTTTTAGGTTATTAATCTTTGTTCCGTCTTTTTTGTTGCAGGTTGCAGGATGGGGAGCGGATGGAGTGATTGTTGGTAGTGCCATGGTGAAATTACTGGGTGAAGCAAAATCCCCTCAAGAGGGGTTAAAAGAATTAGAATCCTTCACCAAGTCCTTAAAAGCTGCCCTGGATTGACCAACAATTTTGCCAGATTGAGTTAAGCTTGTAACTCTCGAGTTCAAAACTGTGATACACACTGGCCTTTCTCTTCCATTTCGAGAATAGTTCCTTTAAATTTGGTTCTGCATAAATGCTATGCATAATCTAGTCAGGCCAACGGCTTTGAAGGATAAAGATCAAGCAGCATTTGAGTGCAATCTCACCTAGCTTTACATTTTAATCGACTTGGCAGGCACCAAGTAGAACACTCTATGACATCGTTTTAGCTGCCAGACAGTTCCGGTCTCATTTGTCCCAATTATTTTAGATGTATAACATTTGGTTTTTTTGTGTGAGAACATACCACATTCAATGTTAGGTTGCAGTTTAGAGTTGGTTTTTTTAGGTGAGAATTTTCGATTTGTAAAGTTTTGCAAAAAAAAATCAGATTTCAAAAAGTCTCTCAAAATCATTTAGAGTTTTCTTTAAAAAACTCTTTAGGTTTTTGACTTTTTGTGCCAAAATAAAATAATTACATGTATGTATGGATTATGTATAATAATTTTTAGGGTTAATTACAAGTTGCACTTTAAAAGATAGTTCAAATTTCAATTTAGATTTTTAAAGATAAAAAATCTTAATTTACACCCTTAAAGATAAAAATTTGTATCAATGTGTACCCTCAAAGATAAAAAGTTTCAATTTGCACCATCAAAGATTGAAATTTGTATCAATGNTCTAAATGAATATAGTGTCCTCCTTCTATTGAATAGTAAAATTTTCTACATAGACTGAGGAGGTGGAACAATGAGAAAAAAATGGATTCTTTTGATTTTTTTTTAATGGACATCATTGTCATTGCTCATTANTACTTATCACAGTTTAGATCTTTATTTAGTCATTTTCTCCCCCACACTCTCAGGTAAAGGGAACCAAAATGGGGAGTGATCTTTCTTGTGGTAATATTGATGATGCATGGAGTATGTCTGATGTTAGCTTTTAAAATATAAACTTCCATGAGAGCAAATGTGGTCAAGGGAAACTTTCAGTAATTGAAGTAACTGAAGTTTTGGAACATCTTTTTGAGTACTTGTGAGGCTACATAATATTGAGTGTACTTTCATGTTTGTGATCTGAGACTGCATATTAGATCCCATTGCTATGGCTTTTTCGCTACTACGTGATGTCATATATGACTACTCAGTCAATTTATTTTTAATGTGCACTAAAGGTACTGCTGACAACACCAACTACTCCAATAGATCGAATGAAAGCCATTGTTGAAGCTTCAGAAGGATTTGTCTACCTTGTAAGATCCCATTTTTCTTGCTCAATAATAAGAAGCCTTTATGAGGATGAAATCTTTGTGGATCCCATATTTTATTTTATTTTTTCTAGTTTTCGTTCACAGGATGGCATTTTCAAGTATTACTACGAGCGACTCTGATGGCATTGTCTTAGATTTGTTTTATTGAGTATTTACATCTTTCTTTTGTAACTCAGGTTCTGCTGCTATTATTATTTGTTATATCGTATTGGTGATAATATCCACAATATGACATTTAAGGACCGTTATGGACCACTGCTGTGACATTCTAATAGGGTTTGTCTGCTAGATTCATATATTGTTCTGTAGTATCTAAACAGGGATATCGGGATCACAAGTACCATTCCCACATTCTGGGTCGTGCAACCCCAAACGGGGTGGGTTCTCGACCTATATCACCCAAGTTCCTAACCCACCATTTGAGTCCCTTAAAGAATCTGCCACAACCTAGTACTAATTCCTGAAACTTTCCCAACTTAGGCAAAGATGCAATCAAGTTACTATTCTTAGTTATACAGGGTTGAACTGTGTGACATGTATGCATAACGGACTCGTTTAGTTACTGTATTGTAAAAGAAAGTATTGCACTAGTTAATGTAGACTAATTCCGTATAAGTGAATGAAACACAAGATTGAATGGGGTACAAAAATACTACCATTGTAATTTCTCGTTTGGTAAGACATTAGATTAAGAGTGGGATAATAGTTATTAATTTACTTATCCCGTAGTACTAACTACATTTTGACCAAAGAACTATCCATCATGTTCCCATTGAAATAAGATCCACACAAGGAGAAGCACTTGCTATTCTTTAGTTATTAGTGGCACCCCGAAAATGTCCCAGTGGAAATATGGCTTTCAAATTAAGTTCCAAATTAGTGGATGCTGCTAAAGGGAGTGATGATGCATATTTCATATGTATACGAACTAAGCCTATACATAATATTGTGTTTCTGACTGCTAAATGTAACATAAGGTTAGATTAGAGAGCTTTAAGTAGTTATGAGTACTTAATCCACTCTTCATTCTGCAACCAAAAGACCCCAGCAGGTATTATGGTGTTGCATATAGACAGAAAAGTGAGAGCAGGTTTACATTAGTAGTCTTAGAAAGTTCATCTATTTACGTAGTTAAACCATGCATCTCTGCTTATCAGGGTCAATTTTAGTCCCATTGGAATGAGCAATTCTTCTAATTGGAGTTGCTTCCCCAGTTTGTCTTTTTTGTGAAACAATGTTGTACTGGAGCATTTCATCATAATGGCTCGTCTATATGTGTGCTTGTTTTACTTAATTGTTTCCCTGAATAAGTTTTAGTTTACTTGTGCATTTTTGTATGTTAATTCTGTACCACTGCTAGTGTGCACCAATGTAGATTGTTACTTTTATTGGGTAATTTTGGAGAAACTATAGCCTGTAGGTAATCTTCTTTTGTGATCACTTTGTTCAAGCATCCAATTCAAAATCAATTAGTGATGAGTGAAGAAACCTAGAAGGTCAATGCTTTTACATCGTATTGTGACTGGGTCTTTGAGAGATTCTGAGCAAGACTCTTCATTTGTATGTGCCATTACCTATATTTGATCGCATCTTTTGGATTTTTTCCGTTAGTTTTCCATGTGCGAGGGATCACACAAATGGAGTGTGTTAGAGCTTGCTCCACATCTACTAATATCTGCCAAACTAGTACATGTCATGGCTAATCAGTTTTGAGTTGAATGATTCAACACACAAGCTGATATTTGGATTCGGAAGCATTTTGTTAATTATATTGGTCACAAGACTTGATATTTAAGCTGACATGAATTCCGGAGCACAATACCAGTCTGTAGATTGAATGAGTATGAGCTGTAATAATCGCATACTTCCTTATAAAATGGTAGTCCACTATAAGCTTCAAGTTACTTTTATATCTTTGTTATCAGGATTTAGTGTATTTTTACTACCACATAGGGGTACATATTTTTATTTCAATTTACTTTTGATATTTTTTGTGTCTATATTTCTGTAATGCTATTGCTACACTAACTCACATTTTCTTTTTGTATGAAAATTCTACTGGGAGCTTTTCTCTTAATAAGCTCTTATAAATTACAAATCTAAGAGACATTGAAAGATGCTTGATCTAGAATGGTACTGTTAATATCTATACAAGCACGCCAACATTGTCTTTGAGCTGAATGCTCGTTTTTTTCTTTACCTATTGGAGCAATTAATAATTCATATGCCCCGGCTATTTAGGAAGTTCTTCATTCTGTTAAACTATCTAAATGAATATAGTGTCCTCCTTCTATTGAATAGTAAAATTTTCTACATAGACTGAGGAGGTGGAACAATGAGAAAAAAATGGATTCTTTTGATTTTTTTTTAATGGACATCATTGTCATTGCTCATTATACCATATGTTGTTGAATTATAGGTGAGCTCTGTTGGAGTTACTGGTGCTCGTGCATCTGTAAGTGCAAAGGTTCAAACTCTTTTACAAGAAATCAAAGAGGTTTGTAAACAATCCTATTTTCAAGCTAATTGCTCATTGGAACAAGATTAACCATGTTGTCAAACACTCATCTTCTTCTTCCCACCGTCTCCTCTCTGTCTTTCACACCCCCACGCCTTTTGGGGCTGGGGAGGTCAAATTGCAAGTATTGCAGCATACAGTCTTTCTACCATTTGACAAGAATCAAGATCCTGAGTTTTGGGTTGAGTGGATGGCCATCATGATTTCACATGCACATGGCATGTAATTATATGCCTTACTAACTTGAGAGGCAGATTCCCTTTTTTGGCTCTAATTGATGACATTTTGTGGCTCGAATTGATGAAAAGATAAATGTATTCCGTCTGCCTTTACTAAACAGTCTTGTGTTCGCAGGCAACAAGCAAACCAGTGGCTGTTGGCTTTGGCATATCAAAACCTGAGCATGTGAAGCAGGTTTGTCTTCTAAAATAATCCTCCATTGCCATGAATTGATAGACTTCTGGAGAAGCCACAAATGCTTGTTTTAGGTTATTAATCTTTGTTCCGTCTTTTTTGTTGCAGGTTGCAGGATGGGGAGCGGATGGAGTGATTGTTGGTAGTGCCATGGTGAAATTACTGGGTGAAGCAAAATCCCCTCAAGAGGGGTTAAAAGAATTAGAATCCTTCACCAAGTCCTTAAAAGCTGCCCTGGATTGACCAACAATTTTGCCAGATTGAGTTAAGCTTGTAACTCTCGAGTTCAAAACTGTGATACACACTGGCCTTTCTCTTCCATTTCGAGAATAGTTCCTTTAAATTTGGTTCTGCATAAATGCTATGCATAATCTAGTCAGGCCAACGGCTTTGAAGGATAAAGATCAAGCAGCATTTGAGTGCAATCTCACCTAGCTTTACATTTTAATCGACTTGGCAGGCACCAAGTAGAACACTCTATGACATCGTTTTAGCTGCCAGACAGTTCCGGTCTCATTTGTCCCAATTATTTTAGATGTATAACATTTGGTTTTTGTGTGTGAGAGCATACCACATTCAATGTTAAGTTGCAGTTTAGAGTTGGTTTTTTTAGGTGAGAATTTTCGATTTGTAAAGTTTTGCAAAAAAAAATCAGATTTCAAAAAGTCTCTCAAAATCATTTAGAGTTTTCTTTAAAAAACTCTTTAGGTTTTTGACTTTTTGTGCCAAAATAAAATAATTACATGTATGTATGGATTATGTATAATAATTTTTAGGGTTAATTACAAGTTGCACTTTAGAAGATAGTTCAAATTTCAATTTAGATTTTTAAAGATAAAAAATCTTAATTTACACCCTTAAAGATAAAAATTTGTATCAATGTGTACCCTCAAAGATAAAAAGTTTCAATTTGCACCATCAAAGATTGAAATTTGTATCAATGTGAATTTAAAACTAAATTGATAAATTATATTTAAATCTTTTCATGTTTGTCACTTAATCATTTGGATCCTTTCACATTTAGAATATTATTCCTACATCTTATTATGTTTGTGCACGTGTAACACGTAACTCTTTTTTGTTGATATATGTTAATATAACCGTTAAAAAATATAATTTTATCCTAATAAAAAATTATAATTTCATATTACCCTTTATTTTGTGGATTCAACATACTCTAAAATTTAAAATTAAACTTACCATTTGAATGTTCAATAGAATATAGATATTTATATAATATTTTTTATATCCAGTGCAATATATCACTCAATGTACAACCCTTTATTCTATTAGACATTCAAATAGTAAACTTGATTTTGAACTTTATAGTATATTGGATCTATAAAATAAAGAGTAATAAGAAATTATCATTTTTTATTAGGATAAAATCATATTTTTTAACGGTTATATTAACAGAGATCAACGAAAANAGAAGATAGTTCAAATCTCAATTTAGATTTTTAAAGATCAAAAATCTTAATTTATACCCTTAAAGATAAAAATTTGTATTAATGTGCACCCCCAAAGATAAAAAGTTTTAATTTGCACCCTCAAAAATTGAAATTTGTATCAATGTGAATCTAAAATTAAATTGATAAATTATACCTAGATCTTCTCATGCTTGTTACTTAATCATTTGGATCCCTTCATATTTAGAATATTACTCCTACATCTTATTATGTTTGTGCACGTGTAACACGTAACTATTTTTTGTTGATATATGTTAATATAACCGTTAAAAAATATAATTTTATCTTAATAAAAAATTATAATTTCANACCCATTAGTGTATCCAGTTATCTATATTTGATCGCATCTTTTGGATTTTTTCCGTTAGTTTTCCATGTGCGAGGGATCACACAAATGGAGTGTGTTAGAGCTTGCTCCACATCTACTAATATCTGCCAAACTAGTACATGTCATGGCTAATCAGTTTTGAGTTGAATGATTCAACACACAAGCTGATATTTGGATTCGGAAGCATTTTGTTAATTATATTGGTCACAAGACTTGATATTTAAGCTGACATGAATTCCGGAGCACAATACCAGTCTGTAGATTGAATGAGTATGAGCTGTAATAATCGCATACTTCCTTATAAAATGGTAGTCCACTATAAGCTTCAAGTTACTTTTATATCTTTGTTATCAGGATTTAGTGTATTTTTACTACCACATAGGGGTACATATTTTTATTTCAATTTACTTTTGATATTTTTTGTGTCTATATTTCTGTAATGCTATTGCTACACTAACTCACATTTTCTTTTTGTATGAAAATTCTACTGGGAGCTTTTCTCTTAATAAGCTCTTATAAATTACAAATCTAAGAGACATTGAAAGATGCTTGATCTAGAATGGTACTGTTAATATCTATACAAGCACGCCAACATTGTCTTTGAGCTGAATGCTCGTTTTTTTCTTTACCTATTGGAGCAATTAATAATTCATATGCCCCGGCTATTTAGGAAGTTCTTCATTCTGTTAAACTATCTAAATGAATATAGTGTCCTCCTTCTATTGAATAGTAAAATTTTCTACATAGACTGAGGAGGTGGAACAATGAGAAAAAAATGGATTCTTTTGATTTTTTTTTAATGGACATCATTGTCATTGCTCATTATACCATATGTTGTTGAATTATAGGTGAGCTCTGTTGGAGTTACTGGTGCTCGTGCATCTGTAAGTGCAAAGGTTCAAACTCTTTTACAAGAAATCAAAGAGGTTTGTAAACAATCCTATTTTCAAGCTAATTGCTCATTGGAACAAGATTAACCATGTTGTCAAACACTCATCTTCTTCTTCCCACCGTCTCCTCTCTGTCTTTCACACCCCCACGCCTTTTGGGGCTGGGGAGGTCAAATTGCAAGTATTGCAGCATACAGTCTTTCTACCATTTGACAAGAATCAAGATCCTGAGTTTTGGGTTGAGTGGATGGCCATCATGATTTCACATGCACATGGCATGTAATTATATGCCTTACTAACTTGAGAGGCAGATTCCCTTTTTTGGCTCTAATTGATGACATTTTGTGGCTCGAATTGATGAAAAGATAAATGTATTCCATCTGCCTTTACTAAACAGTCTTGTGTTCGCAGGCAACAAGCAAACCAGTGGCTGTTGGCTTTGGCATATCAAAACCTGAGCATGTGAAGCAGGTTTGTCTTCTAAAATAATCCTCCATTGCCATGAATTGATAGACTTCTGGAGAAGCCACAAATGCTTGTTTTAGGTTATTAATCTTTGTTCCGTCTTTTTTGTTGCAGGTTGCAGGATGGGGAGCGGATGGAGTGATTGTTGGTAGTGCCATGGTGAAATTACTGGGTGAAGCAAAATCCCCTCAAGAGGGGTTAAAAGAATTAGAATCCTTCACCAAGTCCTTAAAAGCTGCCCTGGATTGACCAACAATTTTGCCAGATTGAGTTAAGCTTGTAACTCTCGAGTTCAAAACTGTGATACACACTGGCCTTTCTCTTCCATTTCGAGAATAGTTCCTTTAAATTTGGTTCTGCATAAATGCTATGCATAATCTAGTCAGGCCAACGGCTTTGAAGGATAAAGATCAAGCAGCATTTGAGTGCAATCTCACCTAGCTTTACATTTTAATCGACTTGGCAGGCACCAAGTAGAACACTCTATGACATCGTTTTAGCTGCCAGACAGTTCCGGTCTCATTTGTCCCAATTATTTTAGATGTATAACATTTGGTTTTTGTGTGTGAGAACATACCACATTCAATGTTAGGTTGCAGTTTAGAGTTGGTTTTTTTAGGTGAGAATTTTCGATTTGTAAAGTTTTGCAAAAAAAAATCAGATTTCAAAAAGTCTCTCAAAATCATTTAGAGTTTTCTTTAAAAAACTCTTTAGGTTTTTGACTTTTTGTGCCAAAATAAAATAATTACATGTATGTATGGATTATGTATAATAATTTTTAGGGTTAATTACAAGTTGCACTTTAGAAGATAGTTCAAATCTCAATTTAGATTTTTAAAGATCAAAAATCTTAATTTATACCCTTAAAGATAAAAATTTGTATTAATGTGCACCCCCAAAGATAAAAAGTTTTAATTTGCACCCTCAAAAATTGAAATTTGTATCAATGTGAATCTAAAATTAAATTGATAAATTATACCTAGATCTTCTCATGCTTGTTACTTAATCATTTGGATCCCTTCATATTTAGAATATTACTCCTACATCTTATTATGTTTGTGCACGTGTAACACGTAACTATTTTTTGTTGATATATGTTAATATAACCGTTAAAAAATATAATTTTATCTTAATAAAAAATTATAATTTCATATTACCCTTTATTTTGTGGATTCGACATACTCTAAAGTTTAAAATTAAGCTTACCATTTGAATGTTCAATAGAATATAGATATTTATATAATATTTTTTATATCCAGTGCAATATATCACTCAATGTACAACCCTTTATTCTATTAGACATTCAAATAGTAAACTTGATTTTGAATTTTAGAGTATATTGGATCTATAAAATAAAGAGTAACAAGAAATTATAATTTTTTATTAGGATGAAATCATATTTTTTAACAGTTATATTAACAGAGATCAACGAAAATGGGTGATGTGTTATACGTACAGAAACGTCATGAGATATAGGAGTAATATTCTAAATGTGAAAGGGTTCAAATGATTAAGTGACAAACATAAAAAGATCTAGGTATAATTTATCAATTTAGTTTTAAGTGCACACTGATACAAATTTCTATTTTTGAGAGTACAAATTAAGATTTTTTATCTTTGGGGGTGCACATTGATACAAATTTTTATCTTTGAGGGTACAAATTTTTATTTTTGATCTTTGGGTACACATTAATACACATTTCTATTTTTGATGGTGCAAATTAAAATTTTTGATCTTTGAGAGTACAAGTTAAAATTTGAACGATCTTTCGAAGTTCAATTTACAATTAACCCTTTTAATTTTAAAAATTAGTACATAAACTGGCAAAAAAATCAAGTCCGTTTAGAGCTGTTTTATTTTATTCCAAAATTTTTAAAAACTATTTATTTAAGTTAATTTCAAATAGGCCCATTGAGTGGATTAGGTTTACCATGTAGTGAATCTGATCACTGGGGAACCCTATGAGAAGGTGGGATCTCACCTTGGTTTTTATCTTTGTTTTCTATACCTTTTCCTACTGGTCATCGATGATAAGGTGGACCTGTTCATGGAATAAATTATGAATAACAACTATGAAGCACCCCGTTGAGCACAAGATATGACGGGAAAATGTTCAATCTCTCATTTCATTGTAATATTACTTATTCAAATTACATTCAAAACTAGAATGAAGTTGCATTTTCAACATAGAATCAAGCGAAGGATTAAACAGACATAAGCAACTTGAGTGCAGAGAAACGTAAGGTTACTCAGAAAAATGAAAGTGAATAAGAGACAATAGTCGGTACAAGTCATGCATACATATGTTATTAATGCCTCCCCGATGCCACTGATTCAGTAGAGAAGAGGTTCTTCACTCGCGAAAGAACAGAATCATGTGCAGGATCATACGGATGGTCCTTCGATGGAATCTCCAAAATTGCTGGAATTGGCTTGTTGTAACTGTCAACTAAAAACCTTATCATGTTTGCGACCTGAAATCAGTGGGGGTGGAAAAAATGTCACTTAGACAGAAAACCATCTATAATGCTTCACGTAGAGACAGATCCAAGTTCTCCAATCCTCTACGAGCAAGCACGAGGTACAAATTTAGAGCGACCTTACAGATCTATCTGCTAACATAGAAAAACAATACGAGGATGACAACCAGCTAGGGATGCTTATTAAACTTCAAAAAAAATATTCTAAATTTATTATAACACCAACTTATCTAAAAGTTTAAGCCATTAACAAGAGGTGTAACTTAATCATGTATATCTCCAACATGCCCCTCAATGTGCAGCTGTAACTTGCTTATTTCAACATGCCACTCANGACAGAAAACCATCTATAATGCTTCACGTAGAGACAGATCCAAGTTCTCCAATCCTCTACGAGCAAGCACGAGGTACAAATTTAGAGCAACCTTACAGATCTATCTGCTAACATAGAAAAACAATACGAGGATGACAACCAGCTAGGGATGCTTTATTAAACTTCAAAAAAAATATTCTAAATTTATTATAACACCAACTTATCTAAAAGTTTAAGCCATTAACAAGAGGTGTAACTTAATCATGTATATCTCCAACATGCCCCTCAATGTGCAGCTGTAACTTGCTTATTTCAACATGCCACTCACATCCATACTAAACATTTCAACATAACTAGGCCAAGCACATGCAAGCATCATGATTATGACAATGGCGATGAGATCTAAATCCCAAATATCTTATCGCAATGCAAAAAGAGTTTGGCCAACATCTAAGTTTTCNACATACTCTAAAATTTAAAATTAAACTTACCATTTGAATGTTCAATAGAATATAGATATTTATATAATATTTTTTATATCCAGTGCAATATATCACTCAATGTACAACCCTTTATTCTATTAGACATTCAAATAGTAAACTTGATTTTGAATTTTAGAGTATATTGGATCTATAAAATAAAGAGTAACAAGAAATTATAATTTTTTATTAGGATGAAATCATATTTTTTAACAGTTATATTAACAGAGATCAACGAAAATGGGTGNACTTTATAGTATATTGGATCTATAAAATAAAGAGTAATAAGAAATTATCATTTTTTATTAGGATAAAATCATATTTTTTAACGGTTATATTAACAGAGATCAACGAAAATGAGTGATGTGTTATACGTACAGAAACGTCATGAGATGTAGGAGTAATATTCTAAATGTGAAAGGGTTCAAATGATTAAGTGAAAAACATAAAAAGATCTAGGTATAATTTATCAATTTAATTTTAAGTGCACACTGATACAAATTTCTATTTTTAAGAGTACAAATTGAGATTTTTTATTTTTGGGAGTGCACATTGATACAAATTTTTATCTTTGATCTTTGGGTACACATTAATACACATTTCTATTTTTGATGGTGCAAATTAAAATTTTTGATCTTTGAGAGTGCAAGTTAAAATTTGAACGATATTTAAAAGTTCAATTTACAATTAACCCTTTTAATTTTAAAAATTAGTACATAAACTGGCAAAAAAATCAAGTCCGTTTAGAGCTGTTTTATTTTATTCCAAAATTTTTAAAAACTATTTATTTAAGTTAATTTCAAATAGGCCCATTGAGTGGATTAGGTTTACCATGTAGTGAATCTGATCACTGGGGAACCCTATGAGAAGGTGTGATCTCACCTTGGTTTTTATCTTTGTTTTCTATACCTTTTCCTACTGGTCATCGATGATAAGGTGGACCAGTTCATGGAATAAATTATGAATAACAACTATGAAGCACCCCGTTGAGCACAAGATATGACGGGAAAATGTTCAAACTCTCATTTCATTGTAATATTACTTATTCAAATTACATTCAAAACTAGAATGAAGTTGCATTTTCAACATAGAATCAAGCGAAGGATTAAACAGACATAAGCAACTTGAGTGCAGAGAAACGTAAGGTTACTCAGAAAAATGAAAGTGAATAAGAGACAATAGTCGGTACAAGTCATGCATACATATGTTATTAATGCCTCCCCGATGCCACTGATTCAGTAGAGAAGAGGTTCTTCACTCGCGAAAGAACAGAATCATGTGCAGGATCATACGGATGGTCCTTCGATGGAATCTCCAAAATTGCTGGAATTGGCTTGTTGTAACTGTCAACTAAAAACCTTATCATGTTTGCGACCTGAAATCAGTGGGGGTGGAAAAAATGTCACTTAGACAGAAAACCATCTATAATGCTTCACGTAGAGACAGATCCAAGTTCTCCAATCCTCTACGAGCAAGCACGAGGTACAAATTTAGAGCAACCTTACAGATCTATCTGCTAACATAGAAAAACAATACGAGGATGACAACCAGCTAGGGATGCTTTATTAAACTTCAAAAAAAATATTCTAAATTTATTATAACACCAACTTATCTAAAAGTTTAAGCCATTAACAAGAGGTGTAACTTAATCATGTATATCTCCAACATGCCCCTCAATGTGCAGCTGTAACTTGCTTATTTCAACATGCCACTCACATCCATACTAAACATTTCAACATAACTAGGCCAAGCACATGCAAGCATCATGATTATGACAATGGCGATGAGATCTAAATCCCAAATATCTTATCGCAATGCAAAAAGAGTTTGGCCAACATCTAAGTTTTCCAAACTCCCTGGCTTATTCTGGCTGAGCCACCTCCATGTTTCAGATAAATTGGAAAATCCATGTCTAGGTTTTAGTATTTTCTCCCAATATACATACCAAACCCAAGCAAGTCTTTTGACCCAACCAT